CTGTGGGACCCCGAAAGCACGCGCTGCCCTGTGTTTTATAACCGGGGACCACTTGACACACTGGGCTCAAGCACTGCGGAACATCCTGCTCTAGAAGGGATAGGAACAAAGCCCAGGCTGTTCCGGGAAGTTCCTCCTTATCTCAGACTATGGCGCATTTCCAGCACATTCTACAGTTATTCTGAGAACTACAAGCAAGAAATGGGGAAAGAGCTGAGTCACTTAGACCATTCAAGGACTTGCCCTGCAAGTCACTTAGACACTGGGGATGAATCTATAGACCAAATGTTCTACTCTCTTTAGGATTCATATTATAAATGAAAAATAATGAACATAAAATAGTGTTCAAAAAATAAGATACAAATGTTTTTATGTACAGGGTGATCCTTACCATCACTTGATTTAGATTTATAACAATATATTTTCAATTATTCTTATTTCTGTTTGGTCTGTATTCCTTTTTAACATATTAGTTACCAAATAGTGAGCATTTACTGAGTCCAAGATGCTATCTTAAGTGCTGTCTACGTGTCATTTCATTTGATCCTCATGACCCTAAGGCAGGCACTCATGTCATCCCTGTGTCACAGAGGGAAAGACGGAGCCCTGAGGACTTAAAGTAACATATCTATCACCCAACTAGGCAGCGACCAAGCTTAGACTCAATCAGCTCGAAAAATGCTGGAACACTACTTCCAAACTGTAGCTGATGATTCATTAGAGGTTCAAGATACCAATTTGGGAAATCACTATCAGCACAAAAAAATTAAATATAATAAAATAAAATAGAATAGGATCAAACGCTATAGTAAATAGCAGGGCATCACACATGTAGAAAGCATGATTTTATGAAACTTTTGTTTTAAATACACATGCATGTATGTATGTGTGAACTTATTTTTTTTTTTCCTTTTTGTCTTTTTCCGTGTCCGGCAACGGATCGCAACCCTCAGTGTCGCGCCCGTACCGGACCAGGTGTGGCTTTAAAAATATAAAATATAAACCAAGCTGAAATAAAAAGCAATGGCAGTCTGATTCTAAAGGGCTGAACACTGTAGCTTAATATTTAAAAGCTACGTACGGTGACTACCACATTGGCCCACAGCTGAATATTCTAGTCTGCTCTTTAAAACCCATGCTAAAAGGAGAAAACATTGTCAGATGAACCCCCCTTCTATCAGACTGATAGAATTCATAACAAATTGAACAGAGAGAACTCACAACAAAAAATAACATAAACATAATCTTATTTATTTTTGTCTGAAGCACAAAGGAGCTCACTCAGCACTATAACAATAAGCAAATCATACAAATATTGAGAAAAAAATGCCCCCATGAATACATACATATATTTTCTTAAAAGCAGTGATGAGTTTAACAACAACGTATGGTGGTTTTCTCTAAAAAATGCTTTCTGACAGGCTTTTGAGTAGGAAATGGNAACAACGTATGGTGGTTTTCTCTAAAAAATGCTTTCTGACAGGCTTTTGAGTAGGAAATGGACAGGTAATTCACTGCCACGTAACAGATGAGCTAAGAATGACATTTGTTACCCCTGTCACTTGCAACCCATGACTACTAAAGCCATTTTTGAATTTACGTATAATTTCATCACTGGCCTATTTGACTTTTTGCATTTCACTAAATTTGGACTAGATTCACAAACTAACCTTCGAATCTCGATCTCTCATAGTCAAAGCTGTGAGAGGGAAAGGAGGTGAGGCCGGGTGGAAAACACGCATGGTGCCCCGTGTTAGGGCTTTCTAACAGTGTCCTTTCATGTGTGCAATTCTTTCATGCTCTTCCTCTAGGGACATTAAGTGTGAGATCCAAAGTCATACTTAAACTGGCTAATAGATCTAAAATTGCAAGCATCTCTCTCTTTCAAACCTTCAAAAAAAAAGTTAAAAATTCATAACAGTCCAGTCAATTTAAAAATAATTTCAAGACATTGCCCATGACACACTTCGTAGTCCACCTTTTACTAACTCGGAACACTCTTTTTAAGGATGTGAATGTTCCCAGCAGTATCATCGACTGAAAAAATGGACAATTGTAAGAAGATGTCCGACGGGCTCCAGAAGCATCCATTCTGGACAATCCATGTATAGCACAAGGTAGAATTGACACAATGTGATTTCCAGCTTGTCTTTAAAGCTTTCCATATGTCTGGTTCTGAGGTGAAAAAATTCAAAATAGGAAGAATCTGGAAGGGAGTGAAGATTCAAAATGTATTGCTAGATCTCACACCCTCTATGTCACCTCCCTAAGATCTCAAGTACAGCTGCCAACAGGGATGGGTATTCAAGGGCACATTTCAAAACCAGCTAGGCATAATGGGAATGTTTTCTAGAACTTCCTTTCCTTTAACTTGTGGAATTCTCACTGAAGTAAAAAAGAAATTCAATGGGGTTCAATGCACACAGCATTAACTTAGAAAGAAAGACCTTCTCTTGGCATGAAGGGAGCTCATTCCACAATATCCTCTTGGATTCTAAAATCTTTGACAATTCAATTAGAGAAGAAGCTGGAAGAATAAATAAGGGAGCAGAGTCTCCTTGGTTTCAGTTTATGATGACTAGGACAACCTCTCAGGTCTTTATCTTTCATTACTTATGCGTGTTTTCCTCTCTTTTGAAAATGAAATTCACCTTAGCTGATTAGCCTGCTTTTGTGTTCTGGTTGCAAAAATGTCTCACACATTTATGACAGTCAGTACTTTGATTATGCTTGTACCTTCTGAAGTGTATTCCATTGAAAGTATCACGGGACAGGAGGCAAGTGGTGAAGGGTGGGGTGAGGAGGCTGATAAGTTTTAATTCTTTTTTCCTGTCAGAGAGCAAAATATTCAAACATAAAGTGACAAATAGGGTTGACTTGGAATAGTGCCTTTCCACAATTCAGAAAGTCAACCTACATTAGGCAAAGGCAACATTTCAAAGTGCAGAACATCTGGCCCCATGTATGGTGAATGTCTGTAATACTGAGAAAAGCAGATGTAATATTCAGAACACTGCACTTGGAGAAATAAAACACATACGTTGTAAGTGATGCAGAGAGATCGAAGTACATGTAAACATTTCAACATGTTCTATTTTTACTAGAAAAGATATCCAGGACTTAATGTATTATCAAGGCTAGGTTTCATGTTTGACAGAATGGTTTTTTGAGTACACGGCCAGCCTTCCTGCTTCTGGTACTACACTTACTTATATTTACTAAATGTGAATCCTAAATCTAAATGAAAATGATGTTCAACCTCAAGACGTACATTCTTAAGGAAGGTGAAAGTGTAGGATCTTGCAAAGGCTGAAAGCAGCTGCTGACTATTAGTGAATCTTACACGTCTCATCTAAATTCTGAAGCCTGCTCCTCTGGGTGAGATCCCATGTAACCACGTTCCTTTGGCAGGGGTGAGAGAGAGCAGAAAACACTTGCCAGCACTATAGAGAAATATGGTACATATTTGACATGGCTTAGGAATTAGAAATACTGGAAATACAGACTGAGACTGGAAATTGGACTTACTGAGTTAATGTCCCATAAAACAAACTGTTGTTTTTTCAAAAAAATAAGAGCAAAAATGTGTTCCATCTTTAGGTGTAGCGTATACACAAATCTAAACGTGTTTGTAATAAAGGGGAAAAAATTGGGGCAAATAACTGCTGAATTAGCATAAATAGGTAAAA